GTTCTAAAACATAGAAACTACTGAATGGACCATTTTCTTACCTGGACTGTGCCTGGTCTGAAACGTGTGTTTGGACGTTTCTCATAGGTACCAATCCAATAACGCCCCTGGTGCTTTGCTGGTTGCCCTCGTCGCCTGGCTTTAGSGTTGTCACCAAGAGTTGGCTGGTATTTAAATGCATCGCCCGATGCAACCCAACCAAGTAAGTTYCCTTTCTCGAAATCAAAGTTTGTACATCCAGGGGGTGTAGCTAGAAACGTAAACGAACGGAAAACCATTCAGGTGACAGTTTTTTTGTTTAATTTTAATTTTGATTCAAAACAAGAAAAATCAATGGACTGATCATATGCACAGCGTTTTCACTGATTCCAAAACGGTCTATAGAGGCTTGTCTCTGTTTCAAAAATTCAAGTGCAATAGTACGCTTATGAACAAAAACACTCTTTTTATCTATTAAAAACATATTCTCAAACCAACATCATTAATGTGATGAATATTTTTTGATGCTGGAAAAAATTCCAAGATGGCGGAGGAAAATCATGTGATCAAAATCTACTTACCGTCAATGGCTGCCCATAGCCTACAACAATAAAGTTAAAAAGACCAAGTTAGTAAAAGAGCATGGTTTTGAGACCTATATGTTATCATTGCCAGTCGTTTGGTATGACTAATGATAGACCTCTTTGGCTTCTAAGTCATGCTTTCCCATGTCAGACCACGTGTCTTCTGATGCACAAACGTTAAACAAAGAAATGAGATTCAAGAATAACATTTGGTCTCTGAAATGTGAAAGCATTACGCCAAAGCCAAAAGATCTAATTGTCAGGATACTAAAGATTATTACTCTCTTGGTTGAGATAAAAGAATTCTAATTCAAAATTAAATTAATCTGGTTCGTATGGGGCTCGAACCCATGACCTTAGCGTTATTAGCACCACGCTCTGCCGACTGAGCTAACGGACCTGCTAGAAAAATACAGGGTTATTCCTTATTCACTTTGAAATGTTAGAAAGTATAATTTGCGTTTTTAAGACATGCTAATGAATGTATTACATCTTAATGAGCTTTGTTAGGCATCAAATGCATGCGTACAAGAATGCGCGCTGTGACATCACTGGATGTGATCTATACTTCGTGGCGAAGTAAAGTACTGTATCGCCCTAGCCTAGTTTTTAGTGTCACTAGACCTTTCAACTTGCATATGTGTAATGCTTTCCCATTTGTTTACAGACTACGTTTCATTCTTTTAAGAATAAGAAATCATAAAACATAGTTCAAAAAGGAGTAATAAACATAATCAATTACATCATGTATGCAAATGAAGTAATTTAATATTAAAAGGGTCCGTTAGCTAATAACGCTAAGGTCTTGGGTTCGAGCCACATACGGACCAGATACATTTTTCATTTTTGTATAACTTCGTGTTTCTTTTAGTAATAATGGAAGCAAATTGTCTCAAAAACTAAAGTCTTTTAGGTTGTGAGTTGGTCCGTTAGCTCAGTCGGCATAGCGTGGTGCTAATAACGCTAAGGTCATGGGTTCGAGCCCCATACGGACCAGATACATTTTACATTTTTGTAAAACTTCGTGTTTCTTTTAGTAATAATGGAAGCAAATTGGTTCAAAGACTAAAATGTATTAAATTATGAGTTGGTCCGTTAGCTCAGTCGGCAGAGCGTGGTGCTAATAACGCTATGGTCATGGGTTCGAGCCCCATACGGACCACGAAGCATTCATTTTCGCATATGCTATATACAGGAAAACGACTCGGTGAGGTTATGGGTCGAGCACATACGGACTATTGCAACATTCATCTTTGAAAACGTTTTGACATTCTCGTTAGTTGCCAAGTTTAATTTTTTTCTGATGCGAGATTTGGCTTTACTGTCTTCATTGTAGTTTCTTTGTTTGAAATTTTTAAAAATGGTTTTCTAATCTGATCAAAAAGTTGCACTTTATTACATTGCAAAAATCCATTACCTGTGTCACCGCCTTTACGGGAGAGAAACCATCTTTTTATGTAACCAAAATGTAAAGTGTTTCTGGTCCGTATGGGGCTCGAACCCATGACCTTAGCGTTATTAGCACCACGCACTGCCGACTGAGCTAACGGACCCTATTTATTTCTTTACTTCTATTAATACTTCGCATGGAAAATGAAGTAGAAAATCTATATTATATCTATTTCCTCCTATAGCCCCCTTGCATTTGACGTTAAAGGAGCTCAATCTGGAGGACAAAACAAAAGAATTTCAATCTTCTGAGAATTCGAAACCTATTGTTATGCCCTAAAAATTGAGCTGCATTCTAACGTGCTGCAAGGGGTCTATAGATTCTTCATCTTGGGCTTAATGTTTTCTCATTTCAGACAGTGTCATTTCCTAGAGTATCATTTCTTTGCTTAACGTTTGTTCATGAGAAGACACATTGGCAACGCGCCTTCTTGCCCGCATGCATTTTCTGCCTATCAGCTGTTGTTTCTACGTCTTAACATTAACATGTTATACACCTATTGCAGCATTGTGGAATGCAGCTCAACCTGGGGAACAAAACTATAGGTTCCAATTCTCTGGATAATTTTTTGGTTTTGTCCCCCACAAGATCGAGTTGTTTTGACGCAACATGCAATGGTGTACATAGTCATTAGCACGTCTTAAAGACACACAAGTTTTGGGAAAACGTACTAGTAAATCAAAGGCAATAAAAAATTTTAAGTTGGTCCGTTAGCTCAGTCGGCAGAGCGTGGTGCTAATAACGCTAAGGTCATGGGTTCGAGCCCCATACGGACCAGATTAATCTTTAATTATGGTGACATAAAAAATGGTTTCTCGCCTTTAAGGTTAGGTGACACAGGTAATGAATTTTGCAATGCGATAAAGTGCAATTTTTTTATACGATTAGAAAACCTTTTTTTAAAATGAAATTGCCAATGAAATTGCGATGACGAAGTACAGCCAAATCTCGCAGTAGTAAAAATGTAAACTTACTATAAGTAAGTCACACAAAACCCTTTTCAGGGGATAATAATAATAATATTGATAATAATGATAATAATAATAGTAATAATAATAATATTTATTTATAAAGCGCAAATACAAATCCGTTCTAAGCGCTAGTAAAAAGGATTATTAAAAACGACAAAGACAACGACAAAATAAAAACTATTTACAAAGAATATGCTAATTTGAAGAGATAGGTTTTAAGTTCAGTTTTGAATGAGGATATTGGCAATGAGTTCCAGAGTTCAGGAGCAGCTACAGAGAAGGAGCGATGACCATAAAATTTAAGATTATAAGACTGTGCTGATAGAAGAACTTGTGATGAAGAATGAAGACTAAGGTTCGGTTTATACACTGAAATGAGTTCCCGGATATAGATAGGAGATTGGCCATAAAGAGCTTTGAATGTAAGTAGTAGGATTTTATATTTAATTCTAGATTCAATTGGTAGCCAGTGCAGATTAACGAGGAAAGGTGTAATGTGGTCATGTTTATGGGAAAGAATGATGATCCCACC